AATTTCTCTAAATTAATATTGTCATATGTATGTTAACATTTTGAATAGTATTATGGTAGATCGTTAGTAGATAAAGGACGTTAAATTACGTACCTAAGCGAAAGGGGAAGCTTGGAAAATATAGGCCTCCGCAAGTATGTCGGTGCTGTTTTCAAGACAAAGAGGTCAGCCCAGTCAAGCTTTTGTTCATCAGAGACAACGAACAGCTGTCCAAATCCATCTAATTCCCCTGACGATTGTTCAAATTTCTTCTTCTCTTCCAATGGAAGATTGAATAATTTTTTAATCTCGTCTTTCATCTTCTCCATCATCGAAAAATTAACTCCGTGATTAATCAACTGCAAAATATAATTATGAATTTTTAAACAGAAACACAAGATCTACAACAAACTTTTCATCAATTCACCGAAAAAAGTACCTGAAAGAAACCCCATTCTTTGGCTGCAATGTGCAACTTGTTAAGCTCGAGATTCATGGAGTCATTGATTAATCGTTGCATATCAATTACTGGAACTTCTTTATAATTTGATGATGCAATTGAAGGGTCCTGATTATCACGTATGTATCGCGATGGAATGGTCACGAGTTTCGTCTTAGCCATTTCCTGGACAGAAGGAACTTTCTTGTAATTAACTTGTAACTGATCTCCTGTATGTGTTTCCATGGCCATATTGATTTATTAACACTTGTTTCCTCAACTATTTTATAATCCCAATTTAATTATCCTATACATATTGACTATAGGATGATCTAATTAGATTATTCATGCGTGTGTGGTTGATAAAACTTGATGGTATTCATCATAGGAGTGGCAAACGAGTGGGACAAGTCGAATATTTGCTGATCAAAAATATAAATGGATAAAAATGTGTTATCCAATTAATAATATGAATAAATATGAATATTCATATTATAGTATAATAATAGGAATTCTGTTAAAAGCTTCAGAAGCAAAATCTCTTGCCACACATTGACCCCACCCCCTACCCTGTCTCCAACCCCTCAAAAGAATTAATTTTTTTCAATTGGTTTTTTATAAAAAAAATTAAATTTATTTTTTACCACTTACGCCACCCCCTCCGCCCAACCACCCAACCACAAGCTGCCTATCCCCCAAAAAATGTAAAAAAGAAATTGATATGTTTTTTTTTTTGAAAAAAAATCTTTAATTTTTCTATCA